ACTACAATTAAATGATATGAAGATATATTTAATTGAACTCTAATTAATCAATAAACCATGACAAATCTTACAATAAACATAATATATTATATTTATATTAAAATAGAGAATTAGTGATAATGTTTTAATCTTCATCCGTCTCTTTTTTTGTAAAATGTGTAAGATCACGATATAAAGTTGAATTATCTATATTAAAATACTAAAGCGTAGGTTATACACGCAATTGAATAGGAATTTAGTCTATGTGCTATTAATAAAAAAAATTTGAAGATTTAACTATCTATCCTTTCATCATAGGTATTTTTCTATCGTTATGTCGATTTAACGTCAAAGGACAATTGAAATTGGAAAAATAAGGGACGGATGGGGATTAATATAAAATTACGTAGACAATTTGAGGACGATCAATTTGAATGGTATCTGAATGTTTCGCGCGGCAGTTGTCCCATGACAACAATAGCGCCGCGAGTGATCATCAACCGCGTCGTGGTGTTGTAAACGCGGCGCAAGAAAGTCGTACAACATTCGGGCGGAGTCGGGCGTACCTTCGGGGACGAGGGCTGACGTCACGCCGCAAAATGGCTACCGGTATCGGAAATGGAGTAGCGTAGAGGCTAGGCGGTAGGAACGAACCGTAGGTGTGTCAGTACTCGGCTTCGTCGCGATAATGCCATCGAAATGCCGATTGTTGCATACTGACTCGCGCCTTGCGCATTACTCTTACGTATGATCGAGATCGTTTCGCAAGTCTCGGATGGTGATAATAAATGGTGAAATAGTTGGCAAGTCAAATTAAGCGGTGCAACCCGGACTCTTCGGTATATTTCTTTATCCCGTAAAACAAAATTTCTTCTGTTCGTAATTTATTAGTGGTTTATACAATTTGTATGCACACACACACACACACACACACACAAAATCATACACCATATATGTTTTTTTGTGTGTGTGTGTGCGCGCGCGCGCGTATAATATGTGTATATATATGTATATATATGTATATATATGATATATATGTATATATATATATATATAATTATTACACACACATTCAAATCTCTGGATAGGGTGAAACTGTGTCTGAATGAGATCGAAGTGGAAAGTAAACGTTGGACTGGTAGTGATCGTTCTTATATTGTTCGTGGATATTTTCCGGATGTTAGGCTGGTCTACCCGGCTCCAGAAGACAGTCAAGAGTGCATCGTGGGTATTAGCTTCGTGCCGAGCCGTTTCAGACAGAGATTAGTTCACATATCTTAGAAACAAGTGAAAATGGAAAGAAAAGAGTATTCGTGCACACAGAACGGATACGAAGCATAAAAATTCAAAGTGTGTTCAACGTAACTGTCTTACCGTGTGGAGTACAATTTGCGATCTGTCAAAATTCAATCGACTCCGATTCGAGTTTACACATTCGATTTATACTCACTACTTATGGTGAAACCGAATCGAACATCCGAATCTTCCTTCTGTCACGATACGTGCTAATCGATTTTTGTCAGAGGAAAAAGCATTCTGTTCGTCTACGGCTTTTATCATCGCTGCGTGTATATATACACCTCTTATACATCGATTGATTCCCTACCATAAACAATATCCCAATCGTTAATAATATATCGTCCGACGATGAAAACGAGATGTAAGTTTGGACGACAGTGAACAAGTTTGCGATGTATTGATCTTAGAATTGAATGAATTATTCAAGCAATGATCTCGCAGAGAGCTGCTAATTAACCGAAAAAGGTACGAGAGAAAGACCGATCTCTTCCTTCATTAAGTAGAATAGAAAGAAGTGCAGAGAACATCGATTTTTGAATTCGAAATTCATAGTATTTCTGAGAATTCTTAATAACTAAACGGTACGCTGTTTAAGAATAAATAATATGCATAAAAGCTATTTCAGTGCATGTCGTTAGAATCAGTGAGACGTGTGGAAGAAAAGAACAGATACAGATAGAGATTTAACTTGATAAGACGAAAAAGATCAAAGAGAGAGAAAGAGAAAGCGCGGTCGAGAAGAAGAAAACCGCGCTAGAAAAATGACAAAGTGAAAAGTTGAAACGATCTAAAAGGTACATGCACATACATACACATGTATATAGATATAGATATAGAGTGGCTAATGAAAATATCCGAACACTTGTAGATATCTTTTATAAATTAATATAAATTATACAGATTGTAATTCCTTATTTTAAGATTTCAACAACACTGTTACGAAGTCCCGACTATTGTGGTTACATTGGTTAATTTTGAAACAAATCTGAAAATGACTTTGATGATATATAATATAGACATATATCTCGTAAAAATCAAAAGAGTATTTAAACAGATAATTGTCGGTTATTGTGTCAGTGGAATTTGTTTATTATATAATATTTTTTTATTATACTGGCAATACACTAATTTTTATCTTTAGTATACTTATTTCACTATACTTATTTTAATTTTAACATATTAATATTTTACTAACTAGCTTCATAGTAAATACAGTGATTTTTATTAATATTTGCTAAATATAGTGTTCTAAAGACTATTATATATTTATTTATAACAATATTATTGATTTAATAGTTTCTTAAAATAATATATTGAAACACTTATTGGAGTTAATTAGTAGAAATAAATTTTATTTATTTATTAGATATAATCTTTTACATAAGTATATTTAATGTTTGCATGACATAAGTATATTTAATATTTGAATGTCATGCAAATATTAATTACATTACATTAAATTTGTATTATACATTATATTTTGATATACATATGTATGTGTATATAATATATTATTCAAATATTTTTATAGCTTGAATTTGCTTGTTGTTATATAGTTTATTTCATACTGTGCAAGAAACTAATAATAATGTACATCTAATTATTAATTAAACGTTGTAATACACTAAAAAACGATCAATTCAGTAACATTATTATAAATATCTTTCAAATACATATGTTGAATGATAACAACAGTTACTATATTTCATAATTTCTATCCATAAATTCATATTTTCAGATTAGTTACATATTTGACGGATGACAAAACTATGACAGTCGTGTCTAGTTATATAGTGTTAATGAAATTTCAAAAAATGTTTTACATAATACATACAATGTGTACAATATAAACACATAGTATATAATGTAAACATTTTCGTTGGTAAGTTTAAATACATTTGTGACCACTGTATATATGTGTATATATATTTATATCTATATAACGTATACATATATATATATTATATATTATATATATATTATATATATATTATATATATATATATATATCGGAATCTGGCTTTCGTTATTGATGCGCACGCGAGTGTCCATATTATATCCGGCGCGCGTGTTTCGTCCATTTCTCATTTGCGTGTATATTTGAAGTGGAATTTCAGTGTGCTGAAAGGGTGAGAGAGGGAGAGAGAAAGAAAGAGATAGGGAGAGAGAGAGAGAGAAAGAGAGAGTAGCAGGATACGCAAAATGTGGAATATGATGTGCGACGTGATGCCGACTATTGCGGAGGACAGCATTAGTCAGAGGAGCTCGCAATATTCCGGCGAGGATGCGAACTTCGAGCAGCTGATGGTTTCGATGCTCGACGAGAGAGACAAACTGGTGGAATCGCTGCGGGAGAGCCAAGAACGGTTGCAGGAAACAGAAACGCGTTTGCAGGAGGTCGAGAAGGAACGGGACTCGCTGAATCGTCAACTAAACGCCAATATCCCTCAGGTATGTCCCGATATTTCTTTACATATTTTTTTTATTTATAAAATAGAAGGTGGTAACATAGTGATAAGATAGTAAACCCAAATTAACCCAAGTAAACCCAACTTAATTGATATCTAATATACGCGAAATTTAAATTAATAATTATTAATTATAAATTATTAAATATAAATAATTAATATTATTTTTGTTTTATTACTTGTGTTTTTATTACTATTGATTGTATTCTAATTAATAAAGATTTAATTAAGAAAATTATTACCACTGTTCCATGCGAATCTTTCAATCTTTTTTTTAATGCTGAATTTAAACATCAGTTAAATTTTTCAATTTATAAAATTAATATTTTTGCTATAAAATTACAATAAGGTCTTACAACAGGATAATTTTCATTTGTTATTCATGTTATAAAAATGTATACTGCAATAAGTGAAAAATTCATAATTGATTTCATGAATTGTATTTCCCTATATTTGATAAATATCTTATATTATCAAATGC